ACACACTTATGGATATGCGTACTGACTTGACAGCGGTGCCACACGCCAGCCTAAGAAACCCAAATCCTGAAAGATCCAGGAAAGCCCTAAAGAGCCTGGGGGTCTTCAAGAGGAACGGAGGCCAAAGTCTCAAATCGACGACGAAGCGACAGGGTGACGACGGTCGTACTTGTCTGCCGAGTGAGGTTCTGGGCTTAGCCTCATGCCATCCGGAAAAGGAAAAATGCGGGTACGTCGGTGAGCGTCCCCACCGATATCAGTGTTCAATGCAAGCCTCTTCGTTGGGCTGGTACTTGCATGAACAACCAGCCCCCCTGCTGTAAAATCCGAAGCAAAAACGAAACAAAACAATCCGAAAGGATCCCTGTGATTCCAAGGGTTACACACACACACAAACAGTCCATTGTTTTAGGAGGGCCGTGAGAAGCAACCCCGCCGCACCCTGTCTTCGCCATCACCTGTCCAAGGCGATCAACCAAGAGTATTGTACCAAAAAGTCAGGTAAGAACAGGTTCAGCGACTTTGAAAGGAGGTCTACAACTTCACGCAGCTGGCGTGCTTGTTTCATGGCCTACACTCTGATTCAGATGTAACAGGAAGCTTAGCAGCTTACCAAACGACCAGCCTTCCAGTTCAAAAGCATAGGTTGCTTTTTGCCGGGCAAAGGCTTTGCTCAGAGACTCAGAGAACGGCTCACAAGACAGCAGAATGCTAAACTCACAAGATTGGAGTGGAGTAAGACTTTGAGATACCGTAGCCCAACCTGACCATCATATATCTGGATGCACAAGCCAACCTGTCTCGTTGGGAAACTGCCCTTTTTTGCAAATAACATCAAATAAGATGTAAACGGAGTACAGAGTGTTTTTCTTGTCTCACCTCGCTGTAGTTGAGAAGGGGCAATCTGCAAGTCACTCTGAGTTCCGTCTCTGTCGAGAACTTTTCTGAGGCGTTGACGTCTACAACTGTCTTTCTCGTGACCCTGCTGCGGGGAACACAACGCGGCAAATGTTTAGTTTGCAGGCTGAATAAGCAAGGCGGTGGGCCGTGGGTCTGCCACTATGCACGAGTGCAAAAATGAAAGTACTGAAGGACTAGCGGACTGCATCAATAAGAGGCCTCGGAAATGGTATCTGAAAGTACTCGATCAAGGTCAAGGCCGCAGTGCCATCGGGATCTTGCCTAAGCAAGAGACGGCCCTTCACATCAGGTCAAGTTTGTTTCATAACTCCACGTGGTTTACTTGGTGCAGTGTAAGAAATCATGTTGGCTGTTCCTTTGTGTTTTCTCAACAAACTTGCAAACTGTGTCCATCCGCAAACAAGATTCGGAGTTGTCTGAAGAGGAATACGAAGGACTTTCACTTCTGTGCCCTCATCAGCACCAACAAACGAGAATAATGTGACATTGGATCATGGATCACACAGTTCGGAAGCCACCGAACATTCACAATTGCAAGCGCTTGTTTCTTCTCCTTACCTCAAACAAGGTCTTGACACCGTGAGCATGTATGTGTATATCATTGTGTTGTGAAACATGTCATGCCCAGCTCGTCATGATCACAGAACACTCCCGGAGGGTCACCGCATCCGGCGCAATAGACGCTCGATGGGAGCCTGTTGTTTTGGAGGAACAATCCATGGGGCAGCAGCGCTGGAGTTTACGGGAGGCTCCTTACTTTACGGTGCCAAAAGCGCCCACATCGGATACAACTCTTTTCTTTGACAGGTGGTTGGTAGCGGAGCCAGGTGCTCTCAAGAGTGGGGTCCAGGGTTCTATTGCACTTCACCTCGGGGTGGTGAGCTTGTTTGCGAACGCACGTTGCCGAACGTGCTTTGAAGCTTGCATGACTTTCAATCTCCAGAAACGACGTGCAGCGTGTTCATCTGGCATACAGTGTTGAGCCTGCGTTTTGTTGACTGTGCTGACATTGCTATATTGAGCATTGGAGTAGTTGCTTGGTGTTGTGAGCTGACCTTGAGACGTTGAGCATTGAGCATTGCGGTTGCCAGTTGACCTTGTGACATTGAGCGTGATCGTGGCGAGTTGACATTGAACATTGCAGGGCGTTTGCTTCTTTGACGTCGAGTTGACGTTGAGTTGACTTAGCCACGCCACGCCTCCATCAGTCGATGCCTCAGATCCCAATTCCGGAAGAGGCCACTAGCAGTGTGACGGGCGCAAAGCATCTTCACCAGTTAGGTTTCGCGACGCATCCTCTAGAGCCTTGTGTTCACTGTTTGACATCAGAAACTGAAAGCCACTTTGTTCTACATGGGGTTTGGGTCTCATGCTGAGGATGGAAAAGGTGGCGACCAGATTTGTCAGAAGAAAACCAAAGACCTTGAGAAACGCACAGTTTAAGGAACGCAAGTTTAAATTCACAGGCAGTGATCTTGAGCAGTATCCAGATGGACCCATTTCCGTTTTGCAGGAGAAGTATGTTCACAGCATTCTGGCAATCGAGGTTGGAAAGCATCATCGGGAACAGCCTCAGTGAAACGTGACTGACACTGAACTCTCGAAACTACGAGGTCTGATCGGCAGCCTGCAATATGCAGTCACGCATACTCGACCCGACATAGTATCAAGACTTGGCGAAGCCTAATGCCAATTGTCCCTGCCAAGCAGTTGCAGCGATATTGCAGCCCAAGGACATAGTGATACTAAGATGTGGTACAGAGCCATTCCCTCAAAGATTTGAGCTACAATTCATTTGGTGATGCATCTTTTGCTAGTCCTAAGAAATTGAACTCTTTCAGTTTCAGGGTCACATTTATGCAACCTCCACAAGCTTAGATCGGAACTGCCAAGGTCCTCACATGTTTCTTTTGAAACGAAGATTTCACGACTCACTAGTCAGATCGAAGCCTTTTCAATGAGCCGGAGTGTCGGCTTGGCTCGACTTTTTTGGGGTAGTGTCAAAAAAGCTACTAGTAACAAGTGCCTTACTAGTAGTAACAAGAAGCTAGTAGAAACAAGAATTAATTAGAATAATGTCTGACCTAATTGCAAACCTCTTTTTGACCTCACTCGAACAGCCATTCCAACCTGTGAAGAATTTCGTGCGACCTTGCAAAGGCCGCTGATCAGGAAGACGTTGTGCAGAACATGTCCGCTTCAGGTGGTTGCCTACCGCACTGATGTTGGCTGACCCTCTGGCCAAGGTAGTGGACAGCAGTCTCCTTCGAACGACGCTCCAAAATGCAACCAAATCCTTGACGAAGCCGTTCTTCGGTACAATGCCCCTCGCAAGCAAGCACTGAAATGGTTGCCAGAAGTTCGACCGTCTTCCAGTTGATTTCATGTTGTTTACATTTCGGGCAGTGTGAAACATGTCATGTCCGGCTCTGTTACGAACCATCGGTGTGGCAGCAGCGCTGGAGTTTCCGGTAGGCTCTTTTGTTGGGCTAAGGTGCTACCGCACCCACATCAAATATATATAGATATAGTTCTTTTCCTTTGACAGGGTCATCGGTGGATATCCATTTGATCCAGAAGCAGGGCTTCCTAAGAAAGGTGTCCCTGTCTTGGTCAGGGCCCGCTACCAATTTAATTTCACAGTGTATCTATATATATATATATATTTATTTATGTATTTAGTTAGTTATTTCTGTATGTATGTCTTTAATGTGTAAATCTATATGATCTATCTATCTATATATATATATATGTGTGTGTGCGTCCACATTCCACAAATGCATAATTTCACACTGTTCATTTTACGTCGGACATGGTTTCACAGTGGAAAAGTTCTACTGTACAGTATATATATATATATGTATGGAAAGCGCCTTTGAATCACCTGCCAGAAGCAACTCCTGCAGCAGAAATCTCTCAGAGTTGGCATGCTGAGCCACACACATTTCCATTCACTCCTTGGTCCTCATCTCATCACCACCAGGTACACCGAATTGCTTGTAGATTTCCCAGCCCTGACGCAAACGAATGATTACCATGAAGCACGTGTGGGGTAAAAGGCACCCGCAGGTGAAAAAATCGCTTCTGATTCTGACACCGCTCTGCTTGAGGCAACGGCAACACTTCGAATTGCATTGATTGCAGAAAAGAGACAGCCAAACATGTGCACAATGAGCTGGCTAATCGGCTATACCTCTTTATCCAAAATGGGAAACAAATTTAATAACCCGCTATCAACTGTACTCAAGCCATCAAGCCTAGTCTGACACTCAACAGTTTCAGACACGATATGCACTGGGGAGAGGCAATTCAACATTATCCAGTTGAAAGCAAGATTCCAAAGAGCAAACCAACAAGCGAACAAACAAAATGAGGTCTGAAGGCATGTTGCATCTGGCATCTGAAAGGAGCCTTTCCCATAGATGGCAATTGCACATCAGCCGAGTTTCAATCTTGAAAATTTCCTGCTTGGGATCGTGCACTAGAGTAGATGAGCTTGAGAAAACACTTTTGCTATGTTTGCTGTGGGCGAATCTTTGCATCGCAGCAAGGACACCAACTCAGTTGCATTGTCTACAAACTCACCCCAATGCTTATCCAGGGCATGAAGAGACCTGGTCCGAACACGAACAGTGTGGAGCTGTGGAGGTGCAAATGGGCTGGGCAAACAAAATGTGAGGGAAACGTGATAGGGAACCCAGAGTCTCACAAAGGGTCTCACGAAGTCTACAAACTCTCAAATATTTAGGGAAATGTATCTCGCTTATCACCAACGCTCTGGCAATGGGACTTTGTGGGCTCCTTGCCCAACACCAGAAAGTTCGCGGGCGTTTATCACAATGCTCTTGCTGACCGCTCTTGTGGTAACAGAAATGGCCGAAATGGTGTTGTGAGACCTCCCACATACCCCTGCGGCATGGTCATTCGGCAATACATCCCTATGGATGACAATATAGTGCTATCATGTGATATCTGATATCAATGACAATATAGTGAAAATGATGGCCGGCGTCCAAGCTGTAGGCTGCTGCAAAGAACTCTGGGGAGGGGTCTTGCCAAGCTCTCGCTGACTCTGGCAAAGAGTCTGGAGACAGCTGTGTGGTTCCGCTAGTGTTCCCAGCATTTGCCTAAAACTCACTATTGCAGCCTATATACAAGATGTTGCATCCTGTTACAAAAGATGTTGACAACTCGCTTGCAACCCGAAGAGTTGGCTATTCTTGGTGAATGAGATTGCTTTGGCATGTCAGGTGGTGTGTAAAGGTTGTGGTGAGGTTCATTGTCATTGCATGTCATTGTCACGAAGATGACTTTGGGCCTTGTGAAAGCGACCTGGTGAAGTGTTGCCTTGCTGGTCGTGCTTTAATCTTACATACGGGGTGTTACACAAAAAAGAACTGTCCTCATGCCTCTCCACGCGTCTACTGTGGCACAAGCGAATGAGTTTGGCGCCGCGCATGAGGGGCCTCCCGGGTAATCACTATATTTGTATGCACAAAATATTGAGTTGAGTAAAGAAAGAAACCATCCATAAAGCTGGCAAAGGGGGCCATCTTGTAAAGAAATGATGACCAGAAAATTGCAAAAAGAAAGGCTTGGTAAACTGTATCCTATGATTTTGGGGGTGCAAATCTATCCCAGCACACTCCACTCAAAAATCATGCTTACGACTATATGGGTCGAGGCAATATCACATTGCGACCTTGTTCCTCTTTCTTTGGCTTCAACGTTGAAATGTGCTCACAAAGATTCCCCACCTCAGGTAGCTTCATCTGCCAGCCCCGAGGCGGTGGCTTTGACTCCTGGCAACAATGGCAACAAAGAGCTGCTGAATGGAGAAGGCTTCACCAAGCTCTGCCATTCAAGCCAAATTGCAAACTCCTCAGCAAAAGTGGGAGAGGACGAAAATCCAGCCAGCATAGAAGCTGCCAATGCATCCTGAGGGATATGGCTTGCAGCGTCAAGCAGCACATGCCGAGCGTTGCTCTTATGCATAGCAAAGCACTTGTCAATTGTAGCAGTGGTTAGACAGCTAGAGACTGACCTACAGTGAATCAAATAAGCTGTGGCAGAGTAGGACTGGCCACGCGGATGCACCCGCAGTATCCTAAAATGCTGTACTCCATTGCCCCCAACCTGCATGTGATTCCTTACCGGTTGCCCACACAAAATCAGTGCTCGAGTGCGCCTTCTACAAACTGTGGCTAGTCTTCAGACAAACTCGAATCTAGCACCATACTGTTTTCTTTTAAGCCCGGGGGGGGGTGGGCCGCGAGTGGAGGTGGGTAGGTAGCTAGTAGCTTAAGTAGTTACCGACAGGACGCAGGATAGCTCGCGCTTCTCCAAGGAAACTACCCGCCGCCCTGTCAGGCGGCGGGGGAAGCTTCCTTGAAGAAGCGCTCGTGCTGATGATTTGGTTCCTAGATTTTTAGGGAAACTTAAGGTTCCTAGGTCCTAGTTCCTCCTGCTCATACTACAATACGATAGGACTTGGTAGTCTTTCTTGAGTGGGCGTCCCTGACTCAGACATCGGCCTTGAGCTAGCTAAGTCGATGATATTCACAGCTCACGCTTCAAATCTTCAATAAGGAAGGAGTAAGTAGAATTGAAGCCAAAGGTGGTGGTACCCAGAGGGAAGGAAGGATTGCTTTCCCACAGCCGTGTCAAGCCTTGCCCGACATTCTCAAGAATATGCAAAACAATTGTAGAATCCCGAAACATCCAGCAGATCTGGCAGGGAAAATACTTAGTGCCACATCGGAAAAGCCCACATAATCCCAGTTACTCTTGGTTTACTTAGCATTAAATTTTGCTGGTGCACTTGTGTTCCCTTTGTCCGGGCTGATCACGTACAGGAACAAACTCAACATTATGGTGAGTTGACCACATGCTTGTTGGGTGCGGTCAAAAATGAGCTGCTGAGAGAGACCGCTAAGTCATCAGGTATGTAGGCAGGTGATGAGTGAGATACGGGTCGTGCCAACTAAATTTGTTCCAATGAATACTTTTCCTCAAGCTTTCTTGGAAATATGCATGTTGTGCACGTGCAAGTGATTGATTTGCCAAAGCTCTCTTCTGCCGGTGAGTTTCTTCTCATCCTGAGTTGACCCGAAAACTGAGTGTCTCTCATCCTCAAACTGAACAATGATGGCAGTTACCGTTACCACGCACGTCCAAGTACCGTTCACACGATTGGCGATGTCCTCAACAAAGAACCAACGTTCAAAAGAACACAGGTCATTGTCTTCCGTGCACACCTGCACACTGAGCTGTCGAACCCTGAACTCAGCAACATTGGAAAAAGCCGCAGACTTGTCATCTGATCCTGGAGTCGAGTGGAGAAGTTTGAACTCGCATGAGTTCGGGTGGCATTTGCATTGGGCACCTGCTATGGTACCTACTTGATTCACGACGTGTTCTTCGACTACGTTAAACAGTTTTTTCCTGGATAGTCCCAATGTTTTTGTTTCCTGGTTCTTTTTCTGTCGCAGGTTTGTAGGTCCGTGGTTGTCCAGGTGTTCCTTCGTCTTGTTTCTGCGTTATTTTTCCTGTCAGAGTTAAATCTATTTTGCGTTTGTCCTAACCTTCTTTGCCTTGATTCAGTGGCCACGCGCTTTCCGTGAGAGATCCACTGGGGCCATCTGTTGCTGGGCGCCACAGTGGGGGACTCTCTCACATGGCAAGCGCTTGCAATCCAGGACACGCTCCTTGCAATACAAAGTAGATGGTGCTGGCCAAGAGCAGCACCTCAAAAGACAAGTCGCCACTGTGTTGAACATGACACTTTGCACTTTTTGAGTTCATCAGTCCCAAAGCCATTGACAAACCAACAAGCCGCCTCACCCCATGCAAGCCCAAGTTCTAGAATGCAAGCTGCAGCTCAAGGATCTGGCAAATCCACACTGTGCTTAAAAAAATGTACCTGTATATGCCTCGCACCGTTTTCTGCCGCACTTGCTAAGTAGCCCTGCCTCAACTTTATCGAGGTCAGCAAACGAAATTGGTTCCAGCCCGCTCTAAGACCACCTGCAGGCAAGCGCCCTTTTTTAACACGTTTGAGCCAAAGTTGCCAGTTCGCTCATGTCAGCAAAATGAACACAGTGACGGCAAGGGCAAGGATGTAAAACTCGATTTTGGGTTTTGAACCCTCGGGGCCTCTGGACGGCGGCAATTTCTAGCTTCCTCTTTAGAGGCATAGGGGAAGGTTGGTGAAACCTGGGAATCTTCTCCCCCTTTCGGTGTCGAACACCTGCATTGTTTCAAAGGCATGGTGGCCGAAAGGCAACCTCAGGAAGATTCGTTCTGGGCGCCTTGCTTTCGGCCGATATGGATGTTCATCTGTTTCAGAGCTTCCATCCACTTTGCAACAGGCAGTGCCTTGGTGAACAGGTCAGCGCGCTGCAATGCAGTCTTGATGCACAAAAGTTTGGCAAGTTCACACTCTTTGAACTAGGACCTAGGTCTACGCGAAAGGTCTTGTTCGCGCGACGAAGTTTCGGGCTATATCCTGCTGTAGTGATTTGAATCACAGCCCGGTTGCCTTGGTTGTTGTCTTGGTAAGAAACTAGCTCGGCTTCTCTCTTAAACAAGGTCTCAACAGCTCTTGCGCCGGAAGTGCTTCAGTAAACAAGCAAGCGCCAACAGCATACCACTGGAAGACTTTGTGTCTTCTTGGTTTGAACAGTGGTCTGCACCCGCGTGACCCCTTGCTTGTCGCCAACACAGCCTTGCAGGGTGAAACCCCTTGAGCTGGACAAGTATGACATCCGCTCGTGACCAAACAGTGCGCCGTCTGGTCAAGTCTAAGATAGCCTTGACCAGGTCTGCATAACACTTTCATCAACACAACGAGAGGCTTCATGTTGTAAGGCCCCTCTTGGCTCCCAGTCATCATCCGGGGCACAGTCTGTTTTGACAGAACACAAAGCTTTACCATGCGCTCTGGCACCTCCGAATCTTTGCAAAGCATGATCAAGCTCTTCGGGGTCAACATCTCCAGTTTTCTTTCGGTTGACATCATCTTGGCTTGTCTACAAACCGCCTCTGCAAGAAAATGGAGTCCAAAGGGTTGTCCTCCTCATCTTCTGGGTCGATCGGCTCGTCCATAGGCTCCTGGCTTGGTTCGACACACACATCAGGCTCAGTTTAAAGCCTCAGACGTGAACTCTCATCTTCTGACCAATGCACCCCCCCACACATCGGGTTCACCAGAGCCACCCCCTTTAAGCAAAGGGCGCTGCAAGAGTCGTGCAAATGGAAGGATTTGGATGTCAAGATTTCTTGTCATCTTTAGCAAAAATTTCAATCTGGGTGTACTGCCTGAAAGGCACTGTCAAGTCGGCGCACGCCACGCCGAGATCACTTGAGCATATTCTGACACTAAAGAAGGCAATTAGTGCGAACGAAAGCGTGCGACAAGACCTTGGCTTGCTGCACCAACTGATGTTGCTCTTGCGCTGCGACCTCCATGGATGAAGGTGGCAGCGTGAGTCCATTTTCCTGGCAGATCTGCAAAATCACCTGAGCTATTGCAGAGCAAAAGCCTGGAGGATATTCCCGTTCTTCGTGGGTGGCAAAGACTACCCGATTGTTTAACATCTGCTTGCCCCATCGTGCATGGACGCGCTGTCCTGTTAACGCTTCATGCTTAAACGCAAGCCTCTTACTACCATATGCACTTGCAACGTGACATTGAAAGTACAAATTCGAAAGGCATCTCATGGATTGGATTGGTGTGGTCAAAAAGTCGATCAGAAAATAATTCTCCTGGCCAGTTTTTCGACGACAAAGAACCGCCCATTGTCTTGGCGAAAAACGGCCACCTGCGCTGTCAATGCATAAACCTTGTTTGCCGAAAACACGCGCGCGCGGTCCCCAAGACCTAGCCCGTCAGGCCAAGAACCTGAACGCAGCGGAGGGCTCCGTTGTCGATCTCCCTAGCCCTCGAGCTGGCGCCACATTCCAGACCCCCGCAACTCTTGGGCCCGTCAAGAACTGCATCAACAGAGCTGCGCCTTGAGGCGTGTTCGCGAGGACGCCGCATATGTTGCAAGTGCTTTGAGGCGCATCGATTTGCAGAGCTAGGGAAGGCCAACTGACTTGCGGCACATGGAAAGCCATTGAGTGACGCGCTTGTAATTGAGATAATTTCAGGTTTCGCTGGAGTGACTTGTTATGGCCTAGAATCCTCCTTTGGGATCGATATAAAGTTTACTAAAAGACCTGTCAGTGAACTTGATCTTGAGACTCTCGACCTGGCTCCGCGGCTGTACAATTGTTCAAATCGTTATTGAAACATATCGGCTTCCCCTCTTTGTGGACGGGCTTGCCACCCTTCAGGCCGGTGGCATCCATGTGGCAAGATGTTCTTGCCTCTTCCCTTTCTCCTTCCGCTTACCTTTTCCTTTCCCTTTGCCTCCTGTCACCTTTCTGTCGGAAGTTCCCTATTAATATTGGAGACTCTTTCCATTGCTTGAATGGCTTCTCTGGGGTTGCAAGCGGGAACAAGTAGAATGCGCCATGATCTGGCCTGTTTCCGGGTGGTTTGTCTGATCTGAGATCCGAGCTCTGCCAACTTTGCCAAAACACCTGACGCAAGGTCACCTGTCGATACCCTGACGGAGCCTCACGAGTCATATGCCTAAAGAGGGTGTCAATGTACCTTTGCGATACATGGAAACTGATCAGGCCCAAAAACTCATACGCCAAGGCATGACGAATGAGAGCCTGCTGAACATGAAGAGACGAGTTCACTGTTGTGTCTGGCATTGCCATCGTCTCACCTACGACAACACTGCCGCCACGCACAACTAATTGCTTTACTGGCTTCATCTGAACTATCTCGAACTCCCTGGAAGGATATGTCTCAGGCCAGGGGGCAGGTATTTGATGGCCTTCTGTTCATACTGGTGCTGCGCTTGCTCAAAAAAACTTATGGCTGCCTCATTCACACCTTCGATGATCAAGCCCTGTGATTCTTGTCCTGACGGCTTGTTCTGCCAAAAGAATACGCTTTGGAAAGCTCTCTGTCCCTGGGGCTTCAACTGCGTTCAACAAAGACTGGATCGTCAACGCCTGCGCCTCGAACAGAAGCCTCTTGAGCGACGCCAAGTCTCCTTTCGATGGCTGACGGTCAAACCTGTCGTATCCAGTACGCAAGCTTCGACAAAGTGTCTACTCCAGTGCGTCGAACAGTGGTCTCCATCGCCCAACTTCTCCGGCCCTTGTCTCAAATTGGGCCTTTGAGTCGATGAGCAGTGACACAGCTTTCGCCAGAAGTTCTAGGAGAAGCTGATGATGACCTTCCAGTGACAACATGTGAGATCCTGGCAGAAACAAAACGCAAACATATGCTCTCCCGAAGTTTCACAAAAAGTGAACAAAGGAAAACATGGGCAGTCAAGAACGCAAGGGGAAGGACACAAGCTACCTTTGTCATTCAAAACAGAAGAAACACTGCTGAATGGTTTCATTGCTCTACACGCCGTCAGGACCAGACGCTTAGTCAGGAGGCCAAATTGTTCAGAAGATGCACTTCAGGCGCGTATGAGCTTCATGGTCTGTCCTGAGCTCTTCATGAGCACTTCAAACCCAAATGCAAATCTTTTACAGACCGCGCAAAGGGTCTTTTCTTTTTCATGAACTCTACATCGATGGCACCGCACAGTCTAAACATTCGACATTCGCATTTGGTCAAAAAACTCGCTCAAAAAGAATAGAGCCTTGCATTTCAAGAACCAAAGGATTAAGGATTCGATTAATAACCAGACGTCCAAGAAGAACGCTCTCATGGCTCTTTTTCTACTGGGGCTGCGGCGTTCTTTGCTCCCTTCACGGGAACTAGCTCTTGCGCCTAAAGCAGTGAGAGCACGTCCTGCATCTCTCCGGACAATTGCCCATCTTCTCGAAGTTTTCCGAAATCATCCTGCCGCAGCTTGTGTAGCAGTAATCTATAGACCATGATACAACTCGGCTTCACAGGCAAGCACTAACTTTGCCAATAAACCTCTACTCCTTCTTTAACTAAAGACTTGGAGGCTGCATTCAGGGCAATGGCTTCATTTTCATCTCCGGAGGACTCTTCACAGTCTGGACTTGAGCTGTTTGAGAGCTCTTCCCGGTCCCAACTGCCAATCGGGGTCAGCTTCTTCGGCCTCCAGCTCGGTCTTCAACCGCTTGGATGGGTTCTCCTCATCGCTGCTCACGATCAGCTGAGGATCTTCGGCTTTGTCTGTCGCGATCATGCCCGACTGACCATCGTCACGCTTGAAACGGCCTGTCCTGATCATCCGAATCACCATGTCAGTTTTCGTAGCGGGGCCAAGATCAGGTCTTGGGAATACAGAGGACCGGCTCCTTCAAGTGAAGTGACATGACGGCCCAATACATCTCTGTCCTCACGCAGCGTGCCAAATTTGGCCATCCAAGAAAGAGCTGTTGCTTTGCAAGAATGATAGGACAACTTCCTCCCACTGTCTTTCCCGCACCTCACAAATGAAGTCGGTGATCTCGCCTGAGTCCAGTGGCCTTCTCGGCCAATCGACTGCGCCTGCTTTTGTCATCGTTGGAGTCGGGGTCAAAGGGGCTCTTGGCGCACGACCTTTCAATCTTGCCACGCGCATATCCTTGAACTTCTTCGCCCAGCAATCTCCTGTATGACAATAGGCAACAGCTTCGTCTTGAGGTGGGCTTTCTTTGCAGTTTTGTGGGTCGTTGTACCAAGCTCCAAGTAACCACCTGTGTCGTCAAGGTCTTCAGAGACTGTATCTATTGCATTCAGATCTCAAGCCCTGCGCCTGCCGTAGATCATAGCCAGAACTGTGCCTGCAGCCAACCGGTCGAAAACTGCTACAGTAAGGTCGCGCAACAGATGATGAAAAGTCTTCGCCTCCTCAACACGGAAAGGATCTGCGGGGCTCCAGGTCTTCTTTTCTGCAAGCATTGAATCAGAGGCCCCTTTCACTCTCCCACTGGCACACGCTTCCAGTTCTCCTTCGAGTCCCTCAACGAAGATGCACGACAACGAAGATGCACGAGACGTGAAGGTCCCTGACCTTCTCAGCTGGAAGAAATAGTGCGCAACCTCGGACTCCAGGATAGGAAGAGGGGCCTTATCACGGTCAATGGCAGCTTGCACAAGAAGGAACAATGCGTTTGCTCTCTTTTTCAGTGTTGCAGCTGACTTCCACCGGTTCTCTGACAAGTTCTCATTGAAATCAATAAAAGAAGATTCAGCTTGCCCAATAGCAGCGGGATTCATAGCAATCGTATTGGATTTTTTTTGATTGCTGCCTTTTTCAATGACTCCTGCATTGTCCAGTAATCAACATCGGTGATCTTCTTAACACATCTCAAAAATGCTGAGTCCACTCTGCGTTCACGAGCGTCGGGCTGAACCTGGCCAGAGCTCGAAGAGGTCGATGGCATTGGGTCCTGACAAGGCATTGGATGGACCTGCACTTCCGGCAATGTTGAAGCTATCTTGTCCAAAGACAAATTTCATCAACCCACGCTCCCATGGTTGTTTCAAATCAAATGATGTTGGCTTTGTATCAACAGCAGCTGCACTCACGATCTCTTCAAACTCATGGCCCATCAATGGACATGGCATCGGATCGACAACATGCTGCTCAATCGGAAAATCTGGGGGATCCGGAGGAAAAACAGCTTGCCTGTATTCAAGCTTTCAACACCAGAATCGCATCCAGACTCATCAGCATCCATTGCAACTTAAATCTACCAGCTACCCCGCGCCGAAATCTACCGGTCAAACCCCCTTAGCAATGAGCGCCGTCATTAAGACAGGACCCACCACTCCCTCCCTGAGCCAACGTCTTCAAGAATAATGCGCAAGCACCTTCGGTGAGCTTTCACATGTTTGCAAACTGCAAGTAAGACATAACTAAGCAATTTGTCAAAGGGTCCAAAAAGAGAATGATTCTAGAGACTTCTTTTACCCTCTCTCACTGGTGCAGGCAATTGTCGACACGAAGCGGCCCTCAAAATAAAATGAAGAATGAAAACCGATGACGCGAAAAGACAAAACAGACAAACCAAAAAACATGGAAATCTGGGTCCTGGCTCTTTTTTGGTTTTCTAGTTTGTTGTTGTGTTTTTGGCTTTTGGCTCAAAATCGCTAAAAAAGAAAGTCAAGAGTCACGAAGCCAAAAAGAATTCAAAAAAGATAGAGCCTGGACCCAGATTTCCCATATTTTGTTGTTTATTGGTTTTGGTCTTTTGGTTTTTGGTTTCTTGGTGTTTGGTAAAAGAAATTGCCAAAGATAGTAGGTCTTTAGCATGTGTCAATAGCTGTGTTATTGAAAATCCTTACAGTATATAAGAACGCAGGCCTTTAGGACTGTTTGAAAATGCCTTTGTAGTTGGCTGTCAGCTAACGAGGGGCACTGATTTCTGATAGGTGCAAAAGATAGTGGACAAGCCCACAGAAAGCAGCTGTTCGTAGATCATGGGGGTATGTCCCAGTTTAGCACATTGCTTTATAAATGAAATGTACGTGTATGCATATATATATATATATATGCATGTGTGTACCTACCCCCAGCTCAGGATCAGACTGCAGGCCGCGCACGGAGTCCCGCCATGATGAGCACACAAACCAAGGTGTTCACGGTTTGTCAAGGAACAAAACTCTCAAGTTGGTCTTCGACATGCGAGAAAAAGTAAGTTCGGCTGCCTCATGCTTGCAATGGTGACTAATTTTCACGGTAGTCTCAGATTTTAAGCGTCTGTATGTCTGCGGTGAAACGGTGAAACCACTTCTTCCTACTGAGTCCCTGCTCCACCAACATTGAAGCCAGATGTTGTTGCTGCAGACTGAAAAAAGAATCATGGCCTGGCAGGGGAGGGTTTTAATTGGATATATGATATATACTATTCAGATATATTGGAGCAATGAAGAGCACGCCTGCTTGGCCTTGCCCAGTTCTGCCTCAGCCAAGGCTAGCGCTTCTTCCGGTGCCTCCAAGAGCAAAAGAACTCAAGTAGCTACTCCATCCGTACTGTTTGCCACACATAGACCAGAAAATTGAATTTGCGATTGATGCTGATTCCACTTACTCTGGCTTCAGATTGCGTCCAAATCATTGTCATTGCTGGAGAAGCGGGTCTGTCCACTGGAGTAAAGAGATGGAGACTGATTGACCGAGAGATCGCCACCTGCCCTTGTTTCAGCCTGCAATCAGCTTCCACTATGGTATCCTGGACCGCCACCGCCACCAAAGCAAGCTGCCTCTTTGGTAAGCTTCTCATCCACCTCTTTCCAAAGACCTTCCTTTGGCTGAGCCTTGTTGACCTGAACGCAAATGACTCGCCTGTTGAAGTTGCTACTGCGAATGTAGCGTGGTACCGTTTCACAAATGAATTGGTCTTGTTCGAGCATGCATGATTCCAGCATCGCTTTTGCCCTGAGGGCTCCCCAAACTGTGGGTTGATGCCATCTGCCAAACTTAGCAAGCAAGTCATGTTAGCTGCATTTTCCCACTTTTACTTTGGAAGTCACACCTCAGCAAGCATGGCACAAAGGGAGAAAAGACGATGTCTCAATCCAAGGATTAAGTTCATCGTGATTAGACAAGTTTACAAAAGGCATGATCAACTCAATGATCAACGAACTCTGCAGAATGCGTCAGGCCTGACTGGAATGATCTTAGCAAGAAACAAACACTTACAGTACTTTGTGGTCTGTACTTTCCCCTTCCACCTATGATGCGAAATGATTATATACCGTCAAACATGTTCAACATTGAGGGCACCTCATCAAATGTTCGAAGTTTCATTAGTGCAGCAAATGGGCCTGTCCGGAAGGAAGCTTCAATGTCTCCGCCCTGAGCAAGTGCCGGGGTGGAGCTGTGGCACAAAGGTCTGGGATAGTCAATTGACTAGTCCTTCACACGCCAAGACCACGCAAGTTGGATGTAGAAGGATGAGTACATGACTCACCCAGTGTGAGATCTATCTATACATATATACAAATAAAGTATATATATATACATATTCTATCACAGTGAAACACTTCTGGCCATGTTCCTAAAAGCCTCAAAAGGTAGCAAACGTGTTTAGGCAAGGCTTGAAGCACAGGCAAGGTGCATGGCTTGAAGCGCATCCTCTGGCTGCCGCCTGCACCGGGCTTTGGAAGGAATCCTCCAAACCTCCTCAATTCCTCCTGGGACTGTTGCTTTTAGTTTGATGATGGAATGCCTGATGCAATCACCAACAAAGCAGCCCAAAAAACTAGAGCTGGTTGCTGTACAACAATCAGTTCATGTGAATGAATGTATGAATATGTTCCAACATCCAACCCCACTTGCGATGCTGCACAACCATTCAAATTGTTGGCGATTATGGTGCCAAGGTCTGACCGTTCGTTCTCGTGCCGAACTTCTGTCTCTGGTCAGTAAACATAATTTCTTGTTGGTGGTCTTAGATCTAGCATTTCTGGGCCTGGCCGGTGACTGTGTCTTCTTGAATTTCAAGTCAGCTTTCAGTCATCTTTGTTGCTGTCATGCTTCACAGTGTCTCACATCTAGTCCACTTCCCAAAGCGCAGCTAGTGCCCAACCACTCCGCAGTGCATGCAAAATGAAGTATATATTGTCATCGGTGGCATTTATGTGCTGTACAGCAAACATAAATTAGTGAAGTTCAGACAAGGAAAAAAATCAGTTGCCGAAAGCCCGCTGAACCTCCAAGGGTGCATTGAGAGGAGAAAGGCCTCCAAGGCATCACAGTAATTCTGAACATACAAAAATGGTGAACGGTGAACGCAAGCACCTTTTGTTTGACAGGAGCCTTCCCGAAATCTACCGAAACAGTGTTATGTTTCAACAATTTGTTGGGGTCAAGAGGGTTTTGGTGCAGCACAGCACGGCCTCAAATCTATCAGTCGGCGGCATTGTGACCAGACCTGAGAACAATATGCACATGATGGATGCAATACTCTCTGCTAAAAGAACAATTTGTACTCTAGAATCACAGAATGAGAGCTGTGGCACCGACAACGGGAAACGAACCCACTGGACCCAAAACTTCCGGCGCAACCCAGACTCGAAAGGCGGCACCCTGTGAGCCTTTGAGATGAAGGACATTGTTGTTCTCAGTGCAAATCACAAGAGCACATGTCGCAGGTTTGAGAAGGCAAGAACAATGATTATGAAAAAAATATTATGGTAAAGACTGAAGCGCTGTATAAATGTTTGTGCAAACCCGCATTTCTGTAGAAAATAAATCCAAAATCTGACCAACACTAACCAAGAAATCCGCCCGCACCGAAGGTGCTCAGGGCGTGATCATCCGGATGGCATAAACAACTGTAAGGTACAGGTTTACCTGGAAAACCATGTTTTTGATAGGTCGCGACGGCGGACTTCAAAAAAACACTGTTTTTGTACAGCACGGAATGGACTAGTTCGTGCACCCGCCCGCCCGGAACCGGCAAGAGAAAAGTGAAAAAAAAACATGTGTTTTTGACTTGTGGTCTCCGATTTTCGGTTTTGAGACGCATATTTTTCCCATGTGTCTTGTCGGGAGGCGGGAGGCCAGATTTTGTGATTTCGGAGCTGTTTGTGACGTCTTTGCAGTGTTTTTGGCGACCATGTTGTTGAAAACGTCGCAACTTGCGGTGCTTTTTGACAGCAGGTTCAAAACAGTGTAGATAGCAGTGTGTTGGGCCAAGCTCAAAAACATCGCTATTTGCAGTGGATTCTGCCTCACAGGGCAAAAAAACACTGCAAAATACGGTATACGCATCGAAGTTCCACAATATATATATATATATAAAGACTCACTCCGGTTCCTCCTCTTCTTTTTTGCAGTGCAGACCTAGTTTGTCAAGATAAACAATCAACTGGAGTTAAAAATCTTTCTGTGAAGGGCCCCCATGGCCCGGCTCCCCCCACAATTCCTCGCCAAACCGATGTAATTGTGAGCCAAAGAGCCTAGGGTAGTCCTGGGCCCCGCCAGACCGGGGTACGTCCAGGCCACTACCCTGCTCATCCCTGATCTTGTGCATTTTTATACCGCCGGCGGTTCAAATTCGGTTAAAAAACGGGCTATTTCTTGCCCTTCTTCCGTCGGGACTTCTTTCTCTTCCTGGCGCGCAGCAGGGCGGGAGGCTGTGGGGTTGTGAGCCCAAACCCTACGAAAGAAGACAATACCCCTAGTTCGTCTTAACCTACGAGGACGTGGGATCAAAGACTCACTCCGGTTCCTCGTCTTCTTTTTTGCAGTGCAGACCTAGTTTGTCAAGATAAGCAATCAACTGGAGTTAAAATTCTTTCTGTGAAGGGCCCCCATGGCCCGGCTCCCTCCAGTAATTGTGAGCCAAAGAGCCTAGGGTAGTCCTGGGCCCGCCAGACCGGGGTACGTCCAGGCCACTACCCTGCTCATCCCTGATCTTGTGCATTTTTATACCGCCGGCGGTTCAAATTCGGTTAAAAAACGGGCTATTTCTTGCCCTTCTTCCGTCGAGACTTCTTTCTCTTTCCATCTTCCCCTGGCCTGCCCTTCCGGGCACGCTCAAGGGGTTGGAGCTCTAAGTTCTTGGACCTTGTGTACTGGCGCTTGTACGCCTGTGCTTGAGAGTTGGTGCTTAGTCGCAATTCTGCCAAAGTGGCAAGTCCTTCGTTTATGTACACCCTGGCCGTCTTTGCAGCCTGCCACCTCTCCCAGGAGGAGTAAGCGGTCTAGTGAGCCGTATCTTGAAAAATAACAGGCGGCGCCCCCTCGTCTTAAACTGTAGGGGCGGAACTGGTGGTCACCAAGGCCGCATGCTTCCAGGCAAGCGGCAAACTTCTGACGCCAAGAGTGTGGGGCTTCACACAGCATGCTACGGGAGTGAGGTGTGTTTTTCCACTGCCACAGTCTACGAAGAGTGTCTTCCTCTCGGATTGTGATGCTCTCCGCTGCTCCTTGCCTTTTGCCCCCTTTTGTTAACCCCAGGGACAGGACTGCGACACTACGTGGACCCGATTGTTGGCAATGAGCTTTGTGAACCCCCAGCAACTCCCCTGTTCTTAGGAGTCCATGAAAGGCGAGCGTGAGCGAAAGGGCAAAAAGATCATCCTTCTGGAACAAGCTCTGGCCTATCATCATTTCCAAAGCTTCGAGTGGAAGCGGCGGAGCCCTATTCGGTATCTCGTTGGTTGCCCAAGTTTTCATCAATCTCCAAGATGCCGCTAATTTACCTTTAACCGCTGGAAGATGGTCTTGTACTGAGGCAATAGTATCTGCCGCCAGAGCACGGCCCTCTCCTCCCTCCCAGAGGACTTCGATGTACTGGCTCAACCAATGAGGGGACCTGGATCACGAGGAAATTGGCGGTTTTCTTCTTTCAGAAACTGTCGGAACTTTTCAAGCGCACGGTCATAACGTTCACGAGTGGCTGGTTGTACGGTGAGATTCCTCAAAGGGCCGAGCATTCGTCGTTGTTGTTGTCGCGTGGCTTTGTCCCTGCCCTCAAGATGGGCAGTTTTGCGTCCTACCATTTCTTCTTCACCGGCCGCCGGGAGGGCCGGTCCGCGGGGTTGTCCCCCGTATGGACATATGCCCATACGGCATGGGATCCACTGGCCAGGAGCAAAGCGTTC